TGCGCGCTCGAGAAGCAGTTTCCACATCGAGAGAGACCCGGCAGCAGAGATTCTGCTTGGACACTCTGACCCAGTGAAGAGCAGCTCCCAAGAGGCTAGGATAAGTACATGCGTGCACCCTTTCGTGGCGAGTTAAAAAAAAAAAAAAAAGAAAACATTTGGGAAAAACCTCTCTCCCTTTTACCTCCTACCTCCATGCTCTGCACTGGATTTGGGAAAAACCTCTCTTCCTTTTACCGCTTCCCTCCCCGCTCTGCACCAGGAGTCCACTGGGCCGGAAATAGATCCCAAAAGGCACCCTGACCCATTCTCCTGGCCTTGGAGAGGGAACAAATAAGCTGCTAGCTCCCCTAGGCCAGGAACACAGGGTTGGCACAACTCCTTTGCTAGCCACAGAAATCAGGGGTCTGCAGACTCTGAGTGCCATACACGCCTGTATAGACTTGTGGGGACCCATCTCAACAGCGTTAGCCCTCACTACCACAGTACAACAGGGCAAACATCTGAAGTTTAACTTCAACTGCTTCAGCTGTGAACAGGCAGATCTGTGATCCTCGAAACAGCTCTGCCCCTCAAGTAGGCACTTTTATCCATCTGCAGCAGGGTCTTGACGACTGGTGATAGTTCCTAAACTGCCTAGTCACCTGCTTCGGGAGTTCAAGAACAGTGGTGCCCTCGAGTCTTTGCAGCCAACATAGTAGGGTGCTCTTAGCCCGGCTGCAAAACTCACCCACCTATTCACTCTAGAGAATAGGGACATGCTTTTCTTTCAGACTCTCAGGGGCAGCCATCGGCCCCCTGCCTGGCTCAGCGCGTGATCCGCTACCACAGCCAGAGTCCAGTGCCTGCACCAATCACTAATGCCTCTCTAGGACTGGGGGTGAGAGCCTGCATCACACACTTGGAGATCAACTGCCTGCACACCCGAGCTGATCCCATATAAGATATTTTAATGAACTCCGGTGTGCACATACTTAGTTACAGAACCAACTACCTGGTGACAGGACGTTAGAGATCAAAAAGTGTCAAAAATCAAACCAGTGCATACCAGCAGCCTATTTGGGCATATCAAAACAAAAAATAAGAAGCTAGGTCTCACTCAGCAAACACAAAATAAAATTATACTAAATTATTGATGGCTCGGAGACAACAGTCAATATCAAGTCACATAAAGAGGCAGTCCATGATGGCTTCAGAAAGCTCCCAAAATAAAGAATCAGTAAATTCTCTGGAGGAAGAGAATTTCTTGGAATTACCAGAGACAGAATACAAAAGATTAATATACAGAACTCTTCTAGAAATAAGAACGGAAATTTGACAGAGTGCAGAAACAGCCAGGCAACATACAGACAGAGTAGTAGCGGAACTTAAAAAAGTTATTCAAGAACATAATGCCAAACTTAACAGGCTGCACGAATCCACAGAGAGACAGCAATAAGAAATCCAGAAGATTAACTATAAAATTCAGAATTAGACAACTCAATAGAAAGTCATAGCAGCAGAATTGAGGCAGCAGAGGTTACAATTAGTGACACTGAAGATAAAGCTCGACGCCAACTTATGTGAGGAAAAATCAGATAAAAGAATTAAAAAGAATGAAGAAACTCGAAGACTCATGTGGGACTCTATCAAAAGAAATAACCTAAGAGTGACTGGAGTACCAGAACAGCGGGGGATAACAGAAAATACAGAGAAAATTGTTAAAGATTGGTTAACAGAAAACTTCCCTGATATCATGAAAGATGAGAAGATATCTATCCAAGATGCTCATCGAACTCCACATAAGGTAGATCCCAAAAGAAAGTCACCAAGAC